TAAAAAAACTTTGATTGTAGAACATTTTTTTTTTTGGTATTTTTCAGTTTTAGTTTCAATTCCTTTTGATATAAAAAGATGTATCCATTTAAAGTAGAGAAATTAGCATGTATATTAATCTCTCCAACTATAATTAATTATCTAACACCATGTAAAACATAATGTAGTAACTAGCATATAGGTTAGACTAAATTCCGGTTTTGACCTTCTATAATTAATATAGATTTTTATAATTTAAAAAATAAAAACAAAAACTTTTCTTTTTTTCAAAGTTTTCCTTTACAAAATTTTCATGACATAGCTAATTATATTGTCCATTAACAAGAAATAGTTATATGTTACATAGTTAACTATATTTACACAGTAATCATGACATAGTTAACTATACTGTCTATTAACAATGGATAGTTAGCTATACGTGTTACATAGTTAACTATATTTACACAATACTAATGGCATATCTAACTATATTATCCATTAACAAGATATAGTTAGCTATATGTGTTACATACTTAAATATATATATATACAATATTTATGACATAGCTAACTATACTGTTTACGGACACAATAACCACATTTGAAGAACTCGTCCTGCTTAGGTTTGAAATCCCGAACACTAGTCTCCAAAACAACCCATTCACCCAACATCACAACAACCATAGTCCATTTTACCATCTGAAACAAATACTTAACTACGATATTAGAATTATAGCTAACTACATAAAAAAATCAAATATAGTCAACTATACGTATTTCTCTTTCCTTTTTGAGATCCACCACCAATCATGATTTCCGTATTCTCCACCACTGATTTTTATGGATCTTTATTACCAGCAATAATTACTAAATTTTATAGAGGCAAATTTGTCCAAGTATTTTTTCTCTATGCTACTCATCTAAATTCTTTTATGTACATGTTACTTTCTTAATTCATTGCTCAAAACATAATATTGAGCTAATTAACCCTCTAAAGTAAGAGTTAATTTGTTATCTAACTCAAAAGAACATATCTAAAAAATTAACCAAAAATCTTAGATTGAGTGGATAAGATGTCGTCACATAGAAGCCTTTTTGTTAGTCTTATTTTTTTGTCAACCTAACTATTAATCAAAAGGCGCCACTAGAATTAGTAATCCAATTCGGTGGCAAGTTACTTACATACGAAAAATCAAAAAGCTCGATTACGTGCATAACGGGTTAAAACAATCTGCCTTTAAATTATTGGAACGGGAAACAAAAGCTATAATAAAAAAATCGGGAGACGGTCTTGGATCCTCCGGAGTGTGTCTGACAGAGTCGAGATTGTG